TGTTAGTGTTGCAAGACTGATGGGCCTTGGGCCCTTGCATGTTTGCNAGTGTTGCAAGACTGATGGGCCTTGGGCCCTTGCATGTTTGCCCTTGTAGATGGACTGTAGAGTTTCCTGATGTGAAGTCCATGGTGAGACGGGCCCARTCACAGACCAYGGGTCCTAGYTGTCTTAACCATTGAATGCCTAGCACCACGTCTGCTCCACTGAGATGRAGAGGATATAGGTCCACCGCAAACTGATGACCCTGAATCTTTAGTAGTAGGCCCATGCAAATGCTATTGCAAGATAGGCTGTTACCGTTGGCCACATGAACCGTAAAGGCCATTGTTGGTTGAACCGTAAGTCCCATTTTATCCACCAAGAGTTGAGTTATGAAGTTAAGGGAGCTGCCATTGTCTATGAGGATTGACACTTGGCGTCCTAGAATCAGCCCTGCAACTCTCATTGTTTGAGGGGACGCAAGTCCCGTAAGGGCTTGTAAGGATATTTCAGGCGTGTCATTGGATTGTATTTCCCACCCTGGGTTAGATTCTTCGCAACTGGTGATGTCGTCTTCCTCTTCGGCATCTGTTTGGAGGAGAAACACTTGCTGTTTTTTGCAATGATGGCCCGGCTCAAATTTCTCTTCACAGTTGTAACAGAGACCTTTGTCTCTGCGGGCTTGCATCTCTGCCCARGTYAGCCGTTTGAAAGGAACCAGTGGGCCTRGGYCCAGTACTCCTTCCTCCTTGTCTGGTGCTGTCRTCCTTTCTTGCTCCCTTCTTGCTTCTGGACCCCATGGTCGCTGCACCTTTCTTGCTCGGCTGAACTTGTCCTCATACAATCTTGCTAGTGCTGCCGCATTGATGACTGAAGTGGGCTGCATCGCTTTCACTTCCAGTCGCAGTTCTTCTTTTAGGCTGCCGACGAAGCTTCCCACCAATGCCTTCTCCCTCCACCCTTGGACTCTCACGGCTAGCCTTTCGAACTCCATCTGGTGTTTTTTTTACTGATCCCACCTGCCGCAGCTTTGCCAAACTTTCATCAAGATCTTCGAACCCAGATGATCCAAAACGGACAGTCATGGCGTCCGTGAAGTCTGCCCAGGTTTGAC